TTGAAGTAGACGACCTCCTAACCACCATTTCTATTTCTCGGGAATTTCAAGAAACCCGCAATTGGTAATCGGGTTTTTCCGCAACGCGTAAGACGATAATACAGATTAGAAAAATTTTCAGATTTAAATTAACAACACTTCGAAATACAATAAAATAAAAATGCATAAAACAGTTATTCAAGTATATTCCACTGCGTGTCCTAATTCCCCACCCATAAAACCCTTTAACCATTGTTTTCGTAGGACAGCACACTGGGAGTAGGGATTAATGAGGGGGCTACATAAGCTACTGTGGACTTGTAAAGTTTTTAAAACAAAATATGTCTGTTCTTTAAGCATAAGGTTAAAAGGATATGTAATTTCCTACCAAACGGGTAAAAAGGACGATATTTTCTGAAAGTTTTCGATAAAACTATATTTGAATGTATAAAGGCCTTGAAAATTTAGGAGAAAAATGCAAATTTCTTAATAAATAATTTTTTGGAGTCGGCCCTTTGCAGGTGGTTCGAACGGAACTCCTTAAAAATCCTTCCCGATGGGCTTAGGCTGCAAAATAATCAATATTACAAGTCTGCTTAAGTGGTTTGTTCCAAAACACATTTCAGAACTTTGCTTGACATTTAATGAGACAGGAAATCTTCTGTAATGTTACCCGCTATATAACGTTCTGTCGCAATGTGTGGCAATGTCCGACCGATGGAATATTTTATTGGGACCTCAGAAATATAAATTTCGCCCTGGCTTTTATGCAGTAGCAAATAAAAGCGCACAATAACTAATGCCCGGCCTCCAACTTTTTGTAATAACGTCGTGAAATGAGTAAACCGTTTTTGGTGTGTGTTGGAGTCAGCAGTGAACTGCTAAATGCCAACTTGATTTTCCGCTTATACGCACATATTAATCGCATCGAAAAGTGCACTAATGTTCAGCAACGAATATTGTAAAGACGAATGAATTTCTTCTATTTTAAAAAATTCGTTGAAACTTTTAGAAGTTTCAGATGCTCACACTTCATTTACTGTGAAGAAAACGGAATCTTATGTGTGACCGTTGTAATGAACACCTTAAGATATATCCCTGCGACCCTTTCCTTCCACGTAAAGGCAAAGTTATAATGCGTAAGTGCAACTGAAAACCAAAGTTATAATTTAGATAAACAGGGGACTTTATAAATGTTCTCCAGTTTTAAAACACGCTATACCTACGTCTTGTACGCTTTCTGTTCTGCTGAAAGTAATATTCAGGAGAGGTTTTCAACAGAGAACAAAAGAAAGCTGCAATGCAACACAGTGAGCCAGAAGGTTTAAAAAGGATTCATACCTCCTCCGGCTCATTCAACTTGAATTCCAACTTCCTACCAGTCCAACAGATGAGATGCTGGCTGTTTGGGTCATCGAGCATTGCAATTAGAAAGCGCCATAGTTGAAGGCAGCCCTTTTGCTGTATGGATGCCGTAGTCAGCTGGTTACCTGACTCAAAATGGCCCCTGTAGCCGCTACAGGTTTCTTCAAAACGGTCCGTAGATGGGGCGCTGATAGACCCTGGATAAGATGTGGTTTCACTCCACTGGCTGCCTAGCGTTGATTCCTTCCAAGTGTAGGTAGGCCACGCTGATGGCTGTTGGGTAATGTCTTCAAACCCACAGCCCTGTGACTGTTCGTCATTGCTAACAGTCGTGTTCTCCAAACCTGTCTGAGACCAACTGTTGGTCGTAAGGGTTTCTCGGAAATCCAGATGTAGCATGATGATTAGAATGATCTCTATGGAGGATAAAAATGACACAGAAAATTACATGTCTGCATGTTTTTAGAAGTTGGAAGCATGCGACGTATTAGAGCACAAGTAGTGAAAGATAGTTGCTAGATGTGTTGGCCGGAGTTTTCCACCGCATTGCCGTAACTCACATGAAAGCAATAAAACGTTCTGTGTATAGAACCAGGATAGCAGCCTGTGGGTTGCAGTTTATTTACCCAGTCACGTCTGCCAGTCGTGCACAGTTAAGTTCAGTCAACTGATCCTGCTCTCTTTAACCTAATGACCACTAAAGAAGAAAGTTTTCCAGCCTAAAATAAGACGTATTCCTAAATTTAACATTAATCTCGACAAAGTTATCGATAAAGGAAGTTTTTGATAACTGGGTAATATTTCGGGTCTACTATAAAGTATAATAAGCGAAATAAATAACAATAATCCAATAAATAAATCTAATTAATTAAATAAGAAAACAAATTTAATAACAATAAATAAAAATTACCACTAGTCCCGTATTGCAGACTGTTGTTTTTTGGTTTCTATGGTGGTACCTATAATGGACTTTTGCCATATTTTGAAGGTTTTATATTAGCTAATCAACGTTCGGTAGGTGATTAAATAATATTCATTATTTCTAGATAAAATACACTGTGTAATTTTATGCTTAAACGAAGCTTTATCAAGTGCTTTAGTTTTAAAAGAATGGAGAAAGCTGTCATTGCATAATGCCAAGTAAAGGATATGGTCACCGCTAAGTCAAGCCATGAGAAGAACAATTACAGGTTTAAAGTCCCTTCGTTTGAATTTGAAAGTAAGTAGGCACAATCCAAATCAAATTTGTTGTTGCGGAGCCAGAAATACCGATAATTTAGAGATTGATGTCTTTGAGATTCCGTTATACTACCAGTACACAGTTAATCAACCGAAAATATACTGACAGATAAAAAAAATATTTTTAAGGATTTGCGCACTTTCTCGATTGAGCTATTAAGCAGCCAAGTAGAATGACATTTTTTTAAATATGAGGAATTTCTACATTGTTTGAACCCAACCAAGCCCGATTTCCGAAGAAATACACGCATAATTTTTTACGAAGTGAATACATGACGGAAACGTTTGTCATCCTTTAAAAAATCTGGTATATAAATTCATGATAATTTAGAAAAATATACACTAATTAGTTGCTAACTGTCATCTGAATGTGGTTTAGGTATGTGCCTAGAAAGCTGTTCAATATAAAGTTAATTCATTGCTCTCTATGCGTTATTAAGAAATCACCATGTGCTTATCAGTATAGTATATATAATTTTCTAATCGATTTATCGTTTTTAGCATAAAATGAATGAGCCTCTCAATGCTTCAAAAATGTCACTCCATGTTTTATCCCTTAATAAAACTGGGCCTACTGATACCATTAAAGGAAACTTATAGCCTTTTTATATAAGACTGAAGTTAATGGGCACACCTATTTTCACCGAAGTGAAAACGATGCCAGTTTAAAACGGTCAAGAGATAAAATATAGGAGAATAAAATTATAATACTGTCATTCACTTTAGGAAATCTCTAAGACTCAAGAGGAAACATGAGTACCTATGCATCGGATTACCAGAATTTTAGGAAGATGCCGGCTACCAAGTACTCCTTGGATGCCGGCTTCAACTGCATCTAGGACATAATAAGGATATCTGCATTGTACAATCGCCTTTCACAGAGATATAGTTAACACAGGTATTTTAATTAAATGAAGGTACGAAAAGTTGTTCTTGCTAAACCAGTTCTGCTTGGGATTTTCAAGGTACAATCACAACAATTCACCTAGGTCAAAGTGAAGCGATATAAATGTAGGAAAGCTACCTGATATTTATACCAATACTTTTTCTACGCATAAAGTGACCTGTGATAAGACAAATATCAGTTTTTGGACTTGTTGCAAAAAAACGCAGTGAAGGACTGCTTTAGCAGACATAATGAAATATAACAAAGTATAAAATTACATTACTTTTTATGGCAATTACTTAAACAAGCATCCCCGAACTTTCACAAAGCTGCGAGCAAAACCTTCTGTAACGCATATTCTCTAGCATCACTGGCAGAAGGCATACAATCAAGTCTGATTTTGAAAATCAGGGAGATCTATTGAGCAGCTTAACAGAAAACGCCCTGAACGATTTACTTGATTGCCTACGGTCATAAACTAACATGCAGAACAAAATCTCAAGTTTTTTTTATAAATAATAATACTAACCTGGACATTATGAGCTATTGGAACTAAATCGTTGAACAGAAAGCTAACACCTAAAACCCGTTTATCTAATGTACAAAATCTGATTGTCCAGCGTGCATACATATGCCTACTGACGTTAAAAACGACAAAGATATGCAGATTATGCTACATGATTGTTAATTTTTAAAAAACGGCAACAAGAGATGGTTATCAGTCTTACGCGATTGGCTCTAACTTCGATGTTAATGCAATTTCGAATTCCGATGAAATCTATGTAAATATATAGTCTTCAGTTAGGGTACTAGTGCACGTAACATGAGAATTTTCAACCGGAATATTTTTGAATACACTGCTAACATGGAATTCTAAATATGAGGGTTGTTTGCCGTGCGACAACATGGAAGATTTTAAAGCCATGTTTCGGCTGTGCAAATCGAAGCATGACCCAAAATGATCCTTTCATTGGGAACTAATTATGAATTTGCTGCGTAAACACACTTACCATCAGATAGAATGAACGCGAGGAAGTTTCTCTGGCATTTCAGTATGCTGTTAGTGAATCTTTAAAACTTTATTTGAATACTATTATTACATTTAATCCCAAATATAAGTTATGTAGACTGTTTAGGATTTTGTGGACACTTGACGTCCAAACAGAAATGAGTGGTTCTGACTGCATTATCTAAATGCTATCTGCAGACGGCCCGTGGCAGATAGATAAGTCTTCTAAAGAATTCTTTCAATATTTTAAACTTCTAAAACCCATAATAAAACGGGACCTTCGAAAAACAAAAAAAATATAAACGTTTATTTTGCTGTAACTAAGGTTATCCCGGTTATAATGACAATGAACCTATTAAGCGCAGGCCGCCCAACCTTACCTTTTTTGTGGATATGCTTCTTATTCGGGCTTTCAGGCTGTACGTTTTGAGTAGATGGAGTACAACTTACAAATATGAACTTGGACATGGACCTCGAGAGTCAGCCAATTGGAATTTGGTTCCTTCTAATTATCCTCAGCATATTTTGAAATAAACCAATTACAACCGCTTGTATGACCAGAGACCGGGAACAATTATCATGCCGAATTGAGGCCTAATTGTTTTTCAACCTATTTTTAACGAAATAATGTTGTACTGAATATCTGTAAGTAGAACATATTATATACCTTAGAAAAATATCTCTTATTCGGGAACAGAATAGCTTGGGGATAAAATAATTTTGCTTAGCTAGTTGCGTTTGTACAGACGTTTCCGAAGAAGTTACGTCTGAATGAGGTGCGTTGTTACTTTGCGGTTATGGGCATACATCGTTGCTGTTTTCACTTAAAATATGCAACATAAAACGTACGATTATTTGGAATTAAATTGATAAAAAAACCTCTTAGTCGCATATTGAACAAATAATTAAACTGTAACATAGTGTTAATTTAGATAGTTAATCATTCAACAAAGTCTTAAACCTTTAGATCCTCAAAATATGTCAGGAAGTCTTTTGCTTTGTGGAAATTTTTTCGTGATTCATTAACGGTTATACAGCAAAAATATGTATCATTTTCAACTTATGGTAGTACTGCTCCTTAGTCATAAAGGTTAGTTGTCCGTGGCTCCGTCTGATGAGAGGTTTGAGTGAGATCCCGAAACATTAGGCTCATAAAACTTGTTGTTCTTGCGATCATATCTTCTTCTGTTGAATGATTTAACTCGAAATAAGAGTATATTGAAATTAGTTCCATTCACTGACACAGCGCGATTTACAATCATATATATTGAATAAGATTTTGTTTACCTGTAGAAGAAAGAAAAAACTCACCAAAATACCATCTTTTATGTCCAAAATATGGTTACGTTAAGACAAAATATGGTTCTTGGACATAGCAGGCGACACGAAATACCATCAATTTTTCTATGAGGTTTTTATTTGTGCCACCAAGTTAGCAGCAGTTATCTGATACTCACATTTGTTTGTTATGCGCATTTCCACTTTCTGAACAATTATGTTTTGAGGATTGAATGATAGCAAAATAATCACTAGTATCGTTTTTAGACCTTTTGAGACTCACGTTAGTTTAAAAAAGTTCATGAAGAGTTATCAGGTTTATTTCAAAGTACGGAGGGCTCATAATTTTTAATAGTAGCTTTAATTTCATATCAACCTAAAAGTAGTCTAGCAGACTTTACACAAGGGAATTTCAAATAAATAGCTGAAAACTTAGTTTTGGAGCGAAAGGTAGGAGGTAATCGATAAGATTTTCAGAATTTGTGAAAAATATAAAGGTGCAACACAGTGTCCCTAGATTTCAGGCCAGTAACTTCTACAGCTGGTGAGTCTTCCACCTTGGTTGCAAAGGGACATAACGCAGACCTATTTATTAGCAAAGTTTTAAGTTTGATTTTCGGGCTGCAGAGCACTGTAAAGAATCTCGTCGGTGCAGTAGTAAGCGGGAAAGTCTCAACCGGAAATTCATTTATCGCCTTAACGCTTAAACGGGTTTGGTTTAAAGTCAATTTCCAAATTTCTCAGACAGTAGGGCATTCAAAGCATAAATGAGGCGAACTTTGCGGGATACTTTTATAGGGATGTTAGGAGATGATTTTAGCAGTTATCACGTTGCGCATTGATTGTGTTAAAACACCAAGACGCCTTAAGGCAAGAATGATTGCAGTCTGAATGCTGTTCTTTCCTCAGTCTCTAGTGTACACTGTCCGTAACTTAAGAACCCCTAATTTTTTAAGATGCAACTGTTTTCTCAAGTTTCCCTGTAAA